GAACAGTGTAGAGTACATTTTGCGGTGTACCCCTGTACCATTCTACTCCACTTAAATAAACTTTAAAGTTTAAATGCTAATAAATAACAAGCTACTTGCTCTTACATTTGATGTTTGTGGATAAAAATATCCGTAACAATTAATAGTTAAAATAACTAAACATTTTTTATTGAAATGACGTCAAATTGTGTAAAAAAAAAATAGTATTGGTATAAGATGTAAGTGGTGCCTTATCCATCTTTTGGAAATAATATCGTCCAAGTAAAATTCAATTAATATTACTTAGTGTAGTAATGTAGTATGAATTATACGTTTTACCATTTATTTTTCACCTTAGACACCACCAAAATCAAGTTTAAAGTTTAATTGCCATATATTTTTAAAATTGTTTTTAAGTTTTTATTTATTTAGATTTAGACTAAAATATGTATAATATGGTATGTGGCTATATACCTACATATTATATATTTAAATAGAACAAAATGTTACAATCATCGCGCGTGATTATAGGAATACTTTTCTGGGTCATATAATATATCACTAGGTTAACGTACCCATATGTTAGTCATAAGCCCTTGAGACATCCTCCCTGTAATAGAAAAATRTTGACCTATTTCCGTGAAACCCTATTATATAGTATGGTTCCTATGAAACTTTTCGGACAACACCTATAAAAATATAATATTTATTGAGAGTACACGTATAATTTTTTTACGAATGTAAAATATTAGTGAGTGTTTGGCAAGGCCGTATGTTGCTATAGCTACAAGCGCAAGTACACTACAAATAAAAATAATTTCAGTTTATACTTTACAAATGTACAATATTGGTTGCCTGCTACTTGCGCGTTAACTATATTCGATTGTTTGTACTTTTAGAAAAAAATAAATGTGTATTTAATGTCAAGAGATAAGGTTCTTTTTATTAATCCTTTTTTTCATATAACAGTCATAAATTACTATACAAATAGTAGTAATAATAATTTTAGCGTTAATATATAAAAACATTTTCTTAACTATAAATTTTTAGTTTATCAAGGTAGTATCGAAATGGAGGATGGCGGTTGGAAAAGAGGGGACATCACAAGCGATATGATAAACGAACTGCATAAAAAAATATGGGATGTGCCCCGAGCACTCAAAGAAGCATAATTGTGAGTATTTTAATACCCCTTGTAATTAAAAAAAAGTGGAAAGTATCTATATGTAGGTACTATAAAAGCTACTTACAATAATTATAATATTTATCTGAAATTATATGTTATCTCTGCTGAAAATAGTTCAAAATTATCTATACTCAGTTAAATACTTATTTTTTTTTAATATACAATCATTTATAGTAATAATTCATTAAAATAACACGTTTCAAAATTGTACCAATATTATGTAAAAAAATCATTAATTTACGAGAATCATACAATGAGTTAAATATGGTTATCATTTATCACTATCATGTGGTATTTGTTGTTATTATAGAGAACGATAATTTCAAACAAGTACAGATTTTTATCATTAGGTATATTTGAAACATACAGCTTATATTACTGTGTTGTGTGTAGTATAATTATAAATTCTAATAAAAGTATGATAAATTGAATTGATATTTAATATATTATACATTTAGACATATCTTATACATTGTACGCAATCCCAGTGTGTCTTGAGAACTAATTTATTTTACTAACTCATTTTATTAATTTGATATTATTAAATTTATTCTTTGTTGTATGACCATATGTGCACGTTTTACTTATTATATTTTTTTCGTTGGGGTAGGAAATGGTGTGTTTACATCTTATTTCTGGGGTATTGGGGTTCAGAGGTAGGTCCAAAAATAAGACTCAACTKAAAAAATTTCATTTAGATAGAAACATTTCTTATAATCAAATCTGTTTTAAATTTTAAAACATATTTTGTACACAATAGTATAATAATTTATCGCTATACGACCAATCAATTTTTACCTAAGTAAATTCTTTTTTTACCTAAGTAATCTAAGTAATTACCTAAGTAACAACGCCCTGGTTCTACAACCTTAATCTTTCTAGGAAATGCATAATATCGTTCTCCCGTCTTCGATTTGGTCACACACGACTTCCTTCTCCCCTCTGCACACTACACAATGRTTCAATGATCTGTAATATTAGCCACTTACTGTTCATCTGCCCCAGCAATCCTAGCAATCAACATATCGTGACCACCTATTGTCTCCTTTGAACACCACCAAAATTCTTTTCGATACTATAAATATATTCTCACACTAATAAATAAACATCATATTGAATATATTATCTTTCTTTAACCATACAGGCTTTTTAATTTATAAGTATATTGTTACTATTCTTTTTTCTTGTAAACAACATCTATATTATGTTTACAATTATATTAAATAATTRTTTAAACTATTTTTAATCAAAAAGTTTAAATTAAAAAAATGTAACAACGTAGTATATATTTTAAAAAGAAATAAAAATACATTTATTGTTGTGGTTACATTTTAGGTTTTTAATTAACTTACCATTTTTATTTATTTTTGTGATGTAGCATAAATAAAATATATCATGAATTTTACTTTTTTACGACTTATATTATACTAATAATAGTGAGTAGATCTGTGAAGTGGCAGGACACACTTCGTGAAATTATATGAGAATATACTCCACTTATTGAGAAAATGCAACTAATCATATGAACTATCCTATTATTATACTATAAAATCTATAACGAAATTAGACTTTCGCGAATTTATATTGTTATGAAAACTTAAGTTATTAGAAAAATTCTTAAACAACAATTATTCGACTGATTTGATRGATGTATTAATTTCAAACATTAAGATAACTTATCTACAGTCCTGATTTTGATTACAGATGTAAATGTTAAATTATTAATTTTTAACTAAGTATTCACAGAATTATGTCGTCAGTTTCATCGTTTGCTTGATTTTTCATGATAGTTTTGAGACGATTTTGTTATCATGTTCTAGGTAAATGTATCTACGTGTTTTTTACTGCATGTAATACGTCATATTTATTATAGATTATTTTAAATTAAAATCCATTTTTTCAAGTACAAAMACAAATTTTCAGCAGAAACAGTATTATAATAAATATACTAGGTACTAATGGAAAAATAAGTTTGAACTGTTTGTAAAATATACATGATACATCGCATGTTGTTAAAAATGTTTTTATAATATATGGTTTATAAAATATAGGATTTACTACAATAAATATTTCGCGTTCATAAAAATATAAATTACCAATAATATTATGTCGTCATTATGATTACAATAATTGTATAGACCATGCACTTCGTCAAAATATCTTTAACCTCATTATATGTTCGTGCACCTATTTTTTTGTTCGTATTTAAAAAAAAAACAATAATAATTGATTACAATTTAATATTATTCATATCATAACACAATTAAATTTAAATATATAAGTAATAATCAATAAATAACGATTAATGAACTGACAATATGGTCGGAATAATGATACATACCTACTCTTGTTTTTATAGTAATATCGGTTGTCCTCTGATTTATCACATAAATATATAATAATATAATATCAGTTGAAATATAAAACCCCGTCGAAACAGGTAAGCAATTTCATATAGGATAACTGATAAGACATGCCTATACGTGACTACTGAGTAGTCGCTATACTCGAAGTGATGAGTGATGTAGTAAACTTAATTTTGGGTATTTAAATTATTAATCCTTCATTAACACAATATTATATGCGTAAAAAAAGTGTTTTGAAAATTTGAATTTTTATTATTTTCTAAATACCATCTGGTTATTTAGAAAATAATTTTTTATTCAAAATGTACATATTTGACAATTCTCTATCTATAATTAGTATATGCATCATAAAAATAATAGACATCATATTTGTGTTGGTTTTCTTGAGATTTATATTAACACAAATATGATGTCTATTAATTATTCAATTATGATGCATATTTTTTTTTTTTT